TTTTCCTAATATTAATTGTATCTACCAAATCGTTATATTCTCGTTGTAGTTTTATGAAATTTTGTGAAATTTTTGATGATACATTCGATATCTGATTTAACGATGATTGCACTAATTTTACTTGCGACTTCATAGTAACTAAAGTTTTTCTATTATTATTTTTATTCGTATTTAATTCTTGTTGTATTTGTTGATAGCCGTTGTCTCCCACAACGCCGAAAGCCCAGTTTTCAAATTCTCCTATTGCATTTATTAAACCCCTCTTTATTCTTACCCCATCCTGTAAAGACATAAGTGTTGTATATCGTTTCAATAATTCCGTTTTTGTTATTTTTAACGTTGAATTAAAGTTACTGCATATATTTGAAACATTATGTTTGTTGACTGAGCACAATTTATCATTGTAGTTCATTAAATTATTTATTTCATCAAATTTCTCGACAAAAACGGAAATATTTACATGTGTTAGTAAGTTAAATTCACTCGAATATACTCTCATTTTATAAATTGGTTCATAATAAATACCCGATCCACGTCCTTGGTAATTGTCGATAATTGTCTCTTCCATTTGCAACGTATCAGGTATTATCACGCTTCCCACTGTGCAATAATTTGTACCACAAACGTTTCTAGGCTGTTGCAATGAAACATGGAACATTACAAATTGCGTTCCATAAGTGTATTTAAAACATCCCTGGGACCGTATTTGTACCGCAATGATGTCACAAATAAGACATATACGGAACATCTCTTTGTAACATCTCTACAACAATCAAACACGATATTCCGTCCACATTAAATTAGAACGTCTATGAAACATCACCGATGTTTCATAGCTGTCTCAATGTGATGTTATTAAAAACATCACTGCGATGTTTGATCCTATTGTTGTATAGTTGTTTAAAAATATACAATGCTGATAATTTTTTTTTAATATTATACATATGGATTATTTATAATATAATACCTGTATTACCTATGCATAAATTATAAATTTCTATGAATCAATATTTACCACCTAATTAAATATTGAAAATTAAAAAAAAAAACAACATTATAATTTAGTAACTCCAATTTATTTATTTGAATAGGTATATAAGTGAAAAATGTATTTACAAAATAACATAAATAATGATACAATACAAACTAAAGATTACAATTTGTTTGCAAATTAACAGATTTAAATCATTCAAAGTTATATATTATAATAATATTATTAGATTAATATAAAATGAAATAAAATGATTGAATACCTATTAAAAATTATATATAAATAAAAAAAAACAATCAATTCTTATATAAAAAATTGTATACACATAATATAATAATATATAGTATAGTACATTAAATTATTATAAAATAATAGGTACCTATACAGTTACAAAATTTATTTAAAAAATAACATAAATGTTAAATAATACATACAAAAGAATATAATTTTTTTGAATGACTTAATAGTGTGTAATTGTAGCCTGAAGGTACAAGCTATTAAGTCTCTGAATGACAAAGTGTTGAGATTAATGCCAAATTGTCGGATAGACTAATAAAAAAACATTTGTATTTTATATCAGTTAAATTAATACAATATAATTCAGACATTTTAGAAGTGTCAACCATGTAAACCCCGATTTTGAATGAAGATTCTGGTGTATTAGTAAATTCAGAACAGCTGATGAACTGTTTTACAATTAAATTAGGAGGTTTATTTTTCGGTTGAACAATATGCTGAACCATAACAAGAGTGTTATTAGTAAGCATTATGTATCTATCTTTTTCTTTAAGAACATTGATAATTGTATTTGTTTGTTCTAAAGTGATTTTTTCAAAAAGTTTATCATTTATATTAAAGAGAGGTGAAGGATTACTGTGTATTATTTCATTGCTTAAGACAGGATATTGTTTATGTAATTGAGCAGGAAGTGTATCATACATTTTTTGTTTTTCTACTATTCTATTGAAGATTTCTTGAAGAGGATATTTGATTGACTTGATAGATTTTTTTATTTCTTGTAAATAATTTTCATAACGAAAACAACTAAAATTGTCTAATGGACCATGAATAAGAACATAAAATGGCAAGTGAATTAAACTATGTACATTATAAGAAATGTAATGAGAACCATATAATGCGGAATAATCATCAACAAATTTCTTTAGAAACTGAGTTGACAATTCATTATACTTAGAATAGGTTTCAGAACAAATTAAAATTCTAATTGCATAAACCAACAATAGGAAATGATAGTAAAACTTTTTTTTTAAGTTACCCTTTAGAACTATTTGACCGGTATACAATAAAAAAGTTCTAAGTTCTGTGGCTTTATAGTGTTCAATTTCATCCAGCCCCCTGGGTAAGCGACATATCTCCGAAGGTACATAAGGTCTTAATTTTTTTAACTCATTATTTATTTTTTCTTTTTTATCTTTTTCCAATCTTACTTGCTTATTACCTTTCACCCAAAATTCAACTAATTTTTTAACTACACCTAGGCATACATTATGCATGTAATCTAACACAACTGTATTGATTATATTAATTGGTAAACGAACTAAAGGACTATTGCCTTTATGGTAATCCTCATCTTTTTTACTTCTGAAAGATTCATCAGTTCTTAACGTAGCATCTAAACCAGGATAAGTCATACGATGTTCCAAATATGTACCTTCCTCTATACATAATGTACAGCCAAAATATGCATTATGACCCTTAACATTAAGTAAAAACGCCTTTGCTGGGCTATCACATGACACATTTGAAATATTTACAGTAAAAAACAACCCATTTACAGTCAACCCATTATCTATTAACTCCAATAAATCTATAATTAATGGATTTAAGAATTCTTCAATAGAAAGGGGTTTTTGAAATCCATGGAAAATGCCTATAGGTATAACATTTTCTTTTAGCTCTTTAAAATTTAAAATTGATATTAATGCTGGCCAAATTTGACTTTTAGAACTTTTAGATACAGGAAGTCCATCTATATTGAGACCTATCTCTAATACATGGGATTTAATATATATTTGAGCATTATTTTTAATTAAAATAGGTAGTAGCATATTTCTTAGACCTAAATGTATGTAGGAACCACCAGAAATATCAACAATATCATGAACTTTAGGAGTTTTCATCAAAGTCCTAATATCTTTTGGAACGTCTAAACCTTCACTTTTCAATAACTGAAGCAAGCTGTTACAAAAATTATGTGAAACTTTGTGTTTAATAATTAATAGACGCAATTTATCTGTTATACATACATTTTTCTGTACATCAACTTCTAACATAGGGCCCATAGAGTCATGATTGGTTATAGGTGGATCATTAAAAGCATCAACACCCAAATTAAAGTTATTGGATTGGACCGTTTTAAAATTTAATGTATTTAACAAACATTCAGGCATCATGGGATCTTTCACGGATACTGATAATTTTAGTGATAAATCATTGTTTGTAATGTTTGTCTTAACACAATTTATACTATTACTATTTACTATGGACGTAACATTCAAATTTACTTTTTGTTGTTCAGCTTTTAGTACTCTTCTAAAATATTTTGTTGATATGAGGGATAAATCTTTTTTCTTTGAACTGCTAATCTGAAAAAATAAAAATAAAATAATTAGTCCACAAATAGGGGTTAAAAGTAATTCAATCTAAAAAAGTTAAATTGAATGCACCACAAAAAAAATAAGAATTGAAAACCAGTATTAATATTATATTAATTTGTTTGTTACATATTATATTATATTAAACGAGAATTATTATTTTATTTATAGTAATGCCTGCGGGGGCAGAGAGTACAATTGACAGTCCTATTCAATAGTTTATGTAGATATAAGCAGTCAAAGAAATCACGTCTTCTACCTAGAGGTGATAATAAACATTGGTTTCTCCGTGGAAAAATCATTTTAATTTTAATGTTATGTTAAACTTTAAATAAGATTTTTTTAAATATTTAATTACTTTTTTATTTAACTACAAAATTAATTAAAATGTATCTACATTCTAACTATAGTATAGCCATCGTAAGAACGCTACTCGTTCGCGCATCCAAATGACAGAGCTCCGCAGTTTCGTACCCAAGTTTCTCCCACTCTACCATCTAGTCGCCGCCGTAAATAGGCAGTAGTGGCAGCGACAGTAGCGATGGCGGCGACAGTGGCGGCGGCCAGAGTTGACGGCGGCCAGCGTTCGGGAAGGTTTAGTGGTGGGAATGCGCGAGATCGGATGAATTTTGGTCGCCGCCCAGTAGCGTTCTTACGATGGCTATACTATACAATACCTATACCTATATTTGCATTCTTACATACAAAATTCAATATATTCAAAATAACTTAATACTAACTTTTGAAAATTAAACTTATTTTGCTCTACTCAAACGAGTGTTTGCATGTCTAAGCCAATTTGCAACAGTGATTTCAAATTCTGAATCCGTTAACACATCATTGGAATTGGCTTTAATAAACCCTAAAAAAAATCATAATGTTTCTGTATATTATAATGTATGTTTATATGTAATTGATTTATAATATAGTAAATTAAATAACTTTTTATTAGTTTTATCACTTCAGAACTTCCTATTGTAATGGATATATGTTTACCACGTCCAGTCCAAGTAGAGATAACAGCAAATTCATCGCTAAATATTTTTTGTAACACCCTTGTAATATTATTTTTTAGTCCACATCCACCAATACTTTTAATGAATGATTCCTAAAATTATTTACAATAATATAAGGATAAATTGAAAGCAAATTTTCCAAGTTTAAATAAGTTTTTTTATAAAGATAACATACTAGTTTCAACACAAAGTCCACTTCATTTACTATGTTTGATTCAACTGATAAAAATTCATCTTTATCTTTAATTGGGAATAATGAAAGAAAATTTGAATCAATATACTGGTTGGCCATCGCAGAGTTTAAACTATTGTTTTTTGAATTAGTTTCCAAAACTTCAACTTTTGTAAGTAATCGATTCAAAATTAAATTTGATGCCACTAACTCTTTTTTAATGTTGACTTGTTCCAATTGCATAAAGTTAAAATATCAAGAATTTTCTGATTTAAACTACCAGTACCTATGTAATAAAAAAATTATAAAAAAATATTTGTACTGATTTTAAATTAATAATATTGAAGTAGTTAATTCAAAAATATGGGTAATTCAGATAAAATACTAAGTAAGTATACTCACTGGTTGTACTGTATGAGGTATTAGGAACAATAAATGGTTCATATGGTTCATATAATTGTATTTCATCAGTATTTTTAACCTGAGACGTTGTCTGCTATCAATTAAATATGAATTTCCGCATCAAAATGAAAATAAATTTAGTTCAATTGTTAATTTTTTATGGTACTTAATATTTTATAAATTTAAATTGATGGAATGATATTGTATATTCTATATTATATTAAAACATAGTACCTATACTATTTTATTTTTAACTTTTTAAAATTTAACTATTGCAGTGCTTAAATACCTAATTAAAAATTAAATTTGTATTACCGTATGTATGTCATCATTAATTATGTATGATACTGAGGAACTAGCTGCAATTTCTACTGCCAGTGGTAATACAGAATCTAGTTCACAATTGAATTCTTCATCAGAATTCCTCACCAGCAATTCAGTATATGTTAACGGCACATCTTTTTTTAGTTTTTTGCTGATAGGTGTTACTGATATGCTACAATCTAAATAAAAATAAATTAATACCTAATTTTTAAAGAAGTATAAAAAATAGTAGGCATCAGTGGCGTCATTTCAGTTTTAATTAGACTAGGGCAATTTTTCACTACTTATCCGACTCAACATTTTTTTCACTCAGATTCTCATAGCGTAGAACCAAAGTGTTAAAAGGGGGGGGGGGAGCGTGTGGTAAATGTGCCGACTTAAGGTTGATGTAAATACTAGACCGGGGCAAATGCCCCAGTTGCCCTCCCCCAAATGACGTCACTGGTAGGCATACCTTCAAAGTCACTGTCGTCATCTTCAGATGAACTTCTTTGGCGGTTTTTCTTTTTCTTTTTGAGTACTTCAGGTTCATTTTCTGTAGCAGAACTTTCAATCTCCACACGTTGATGCCAGGCTTCTTTGAAATTGACTAAGTAAACGAATACAATTAGGTACAATTTGAATTATGAAGTAATTTCAAGTAGGTTTCAAGTTTATTTGACTTGCATTACTTATTAATCGAACCTATTGTTTTAAAACTTTTTATAAAGTACCTACCATATATTTTACTGGACAAGATTTTAATTTTGAATAAGCCCCATAAATCTTCTGGATCATCCGCGTTTGTTAGTTCAATGCTCGTTACATTAAATGGAGGCCATCGACAAAGTTCAACTATTGAAATGTTGTCCGCGGTTAGCTCCAATGTTGGTGGTAAAATTAGCCAATTAACAGGCACAACACTGTAATCGTTTGATTCCGTAAAGGAAACAATGACCCATCGCTTATTATACTTCCGGTTCTAAGTGGTAATGGTAAAAAAGCTTATGTTATTAAATTTAAATTACCTACATAATTAAATAATATAAAAACTTACTTTACGGTTCTTTAGCGATTGTTTCGTAGACATGTTGATATTATTATATTTATGTATACTATATTACTATTTAACACTGGCGACTGGCCTCTGAAGACTGAACAAATAAAATAACAAACTATAAAGTAAAAATGCAATAATTGCAAATTGCAATAATGCAAAATTGTATAATACAAAACAAACACTGGTACGAGGCACGAGCTCAATCAAGCGAGTATTATAGATAGTCGAGTACTCGAGTGTCGACGGCGGAGTGCGGACGTATAGCGGCCGGTCGGGCAGCACCGGTGAACCCACTATATATATATATACAATAGTTATTATAGTCACCAATGAACTGATAATAACGTCATAGAAAACCCAAATAATATTATAAATATATTATAATGTCTAATAATAAATAATAAAGTAGAAATAGCCATGTTGTTCGTAGAACCCCCTCCCCACCATCCTACTCGGGCGACAGCCGATATAATAATATATAATAGTTTAATATATATACATCCCGAGAACAACCTATTTACATTGAAATGCGATGTTCCGTAAAAGGTAAGTTTGAAACGTTGTTGGTATGTTATACATTTATAGTTAAGTGACAACTAAAGGAAAACATCCATAAAATGCCCTATAAACATAGAAATGTGATGTTCCGTATGCAACCCAAAACATACATCGCAGAGATGTTAGGCAACATCAAATGTTTAGTGGGTTAATCCTAGTATAACAGGAACTATTGCGAACATTTTACAAATTATTAAATTATATAACTTAAAACAAAATGATTAATTATAATATAGTAAAAATATATCAGATTAAAAATGATATATGTTAAAGATTGAATTACAATTTACAAATGATAACAATAACATACGTTATTCATTGACGGTTGTAGTAACGCTATGGTGTGTTATAATATGTGTGCTAATGTATATACTATATATATATCCTTACTATAGTATTATAATAATATATGCCCATGAATGAAATTGTGCTGAATTAATACTTTTGTTGTTCACTCATTGAAATATATTTATTCAGCTAAAATGCAAAACTATTAAAATTTACGTTGTATATCTATAAAATCTATCGTTAAGAAATCAACAAAAATTTTTTTTTTTTTTTTTTGCCAACTACTTAGCTTCGTTAATATTGCTTAACAATATTAAGAAATTAAGTAGACGTGAAATATATTATGGTGGTCTCTCGACAGTAATATTATTTACAACGTGGTAAATAATATGTTGTGAGAAGCCAAATTGCCTAATTAAATTCACTAAGAATATAAAGCTCCCTAAAACACGTTTCGATTTCTATTTACATATTATAAATAACTTATTTAATATAATATATCGATATACTTAAATGTTAAATTAATTATTATTTCTAACTATAATAGTATACGTTTTTTATTTGCGATCGATCTCTATATTTTTTTATTTGTTGAATATGTTTTTTCTCAGCTTGTTTTTTTCCATTTTTATCTATTTCGATTAAATAAGTAACTGGATTAATTTTCTTTAATATTGTGTGGGGACCTTCATATCTATCCGAAAATTTATTTTGTCTTACATTAATCTTTACTAAAACTTTTTCTCCCACGTAAAAATCTTGTTCCCTTTTCCCTCTGTCAGCGTAAATTTTTTGTTTATCAAACGCTTTTTGTAGAATATCAGGTAATTTTTCACGAATTGAATTTAATTTCTGTAGCTCTATAATGGTAGAATGATTTAAATTTGATGGGATAATTGCGATATCTAAAATTGAACTAGGCTCATAGCCGTGTACTAAATAAAATGGAGTATATCCCGTTGAGTGGTGTATAGCCGTGTTATATGCATGCAATACGATAGGTAAAACATCAATATAATTTACGTTAATCTTATAATTTAAATTTGTCATGATTGTATTCATAGCTTCCTGATATTTGCTTGGGCCATTGCAAATTCCCATAGGCATACGTTTAAATTGATATTTCCCGGTTGTTGTACAAAACGCTGTTAGCTCTTTAGCTTTTTCACTTAATTTAAGTTGATGGAAACCTGACATTGCGTCCATACATGAAAAAAATTTATTTCCCGCCAGACAATCGTAGATACTTTGAATAACCGGAAGTGGAAAAGATTCTTTAATAGTTATATCATTTAATTTTCTATAGTCTAATACCATTCTATATTGTGCTGGTGATTTTTCTTTCTTCGAACCTTGTGGTTTGCCTTTGGGCACTAAAAAAATTGGAAATGAGTATGGTGAGTTCGATGGTTCAATTATACCAGCTTTAAGCATTTCTTGCGTTTGTTCTTCGATTTCATCCCTCTCAAACTTACTCAATTTAAAATTTGGGAGATTTATTGGAATATTTTTGGTTAAAAAAATGTCTACTGGCTTAGTTTTTGAATCTCCCAAGTCCCATTTTGATTTTGAGAAAACTGACTCGTATTTTTGTAGCAAGGACAATAATTTACTTTTCTGTGTTTTGTCCAGATTTGGATTAATATCAAATTCAATTTTACTATTTTCGTCGTAATCGTCAGGTAAATTTCGATCGATCTTTTTAATTGTTGTATAAGGTTTTATATTTCTATCTTGGCTAAGAATATTTGAATTGTTTGAATTTAATAAAATGTGTTCTACTTCGCGCACTTCGGCTAATGGATAATTAGCGCGCTTTAAGTCGTTTTCTTTGTTTATTACCTCGGCTTCGGGTACCTTGATTGTTTCTAACATTTTCCTTTCCCTTAGTAAAGCACGAGAAGTATGAATAGAACGAAAATCATGCGTAAAAGTAACTTGTGACACTTCTAGGTTGGGATTATCATATTTTTTGTCATAACACCCTGGTGTCCAATGGTCATTTTCAAAAAAAACTACTAGAAATTTCCTACCTGGTTTATAAAACCCTAAACCTGCAGTTTTCTTAGTATTTTCGAAATTTGGGCATATAATTATTAAATTGAAATTATAAAAATCAGCTACGGCTGATAAGTCCTCACCGTCTAACCAGATTGGTTTTTCATGTAAATTTAGATCAAGTAAATGGGAAATGGTTTCTGCTGTTACATAAATATTTTCATGTGCCAGCATTACTGTCAACGCATATATTGCACAAAATCCGTCTCCAGGGACGTCAATCAACTTACGACTACATCTAACAATTTCACGTAACCTTGGCTGAATTAATATTAAATTTCTCATTTTTTCAATTTTATTCTCATCGTCTGTATCCTTATTTAATGTAGTTTCATTAACTATTTTTTCAATTTTCAATTTAATATCATCTGAAGTTCTACGTTTGTTATCGAAATCCAAAACAACTAAACCATTATCACCTGTTAATACTATCTGTTTATTAACAAAATTTATTTTGGCTTGATATAAATTCAAAAAGTCTGTACCTATTAAACTAGGTCCTACTAAGTTCCTAACTACCATGCATTTAATAGGGAATTCAATATTTTCGAACGTAACAATTGTATTAATAATACCAAGTAGTTTTAAATCTGATCCGTTTGCCGTAATTAGCTTTACGCAATCGACTGCCTTTGGAGTGATTCCTAATGGTAAATTGTCAGCATTAATTATAGACGCAGTGGCCCCTGTGTCTATTACAAAATTATATTCAATGTTATTAATTTTGCCTACTACCTCAAGTCTTTGACCTGGTTCGAATGCTGCCGGAAGTGAAGTCGGATTACACGTCGTTATGTATTTTTGTATTGTATTGTCATTACTTTTTTGCTGTTCAACCCGGGGCACCTTAGTTGCGTCCCGTAAAAAGGTATACACGAATTGCGTCCCACTATATATGGGTTCGGTAGAAGAGTTTTATTTCGTTTTCAGGGGTTCTCCGTGGTGTGTTGATTATTATAAGATAGCCTGGGCTCTAATATTATGTTTTGATAGTAATATAAATTACGATAGCAAGTTCGTTTATCGTAATCGTGAACAATAAAATACCACCTCTATTCTACCTATACTATATCGGTAAAGCTTTGTATTATATATATGTGTGTATAGCATTTAGTTTCACAATGTTCTGGATTTACCAAGCTGATATAAAATACTTGATTAGGTAGTTACAGTATCTACTGTTAATAACTGTTTTACTGCAGTTCAGTCTTCGTTCGTTACTTTTTCGTATACCTACGTTTTAAAATTATTTATTTATTTATTATATAATGGACTACCTATATTGATTTTGACTAGATCTAAGTGATTTAATTTTTATTTACTTTTTTACTACATTTGATAAACAATTTTTTGACTGACATTTTGATTATTAACGTTAATATTATTATTTATTTATTTTTGTTAGTTGTTTAAGAACCCTTGATTGAAATACATGAATTGCGTCCTTGATTTTTTGGGACGCAATTCGTGTATACCTTTTTTACGGGACGCAACTCGTGTGCTCCCGTTCAACCGCTACTAAATGTTTACTTGCGATTTTTTCTTGAATATTATGGTCACTCACGTCTGGTATTTCATTTTCATTGAATAAACTACCTATGTTATAATCGCCTACGTTTAATTGTTGTGTTGGAACTAAGGTTTCGTCATCTTTATATTTCTCCGAAATTATTGATTCCAACAATGTTATACTAGAATTTTTGTCGTTAGAATTTTTCTGCTGGCATAGAGGGAGTCTAACTACTCTCTCTTGCCTTAAGAGTTTTTTTGATTATTATGATAAATATTCGAATTACGTGTGTTATTAAAAGACATCTGACCGATACCGTGCTGATTCATCACGTTATTTACATCTACATTATTTTGACTGTTACCATTTGAAGCATGCGATGGATTTTGATAATTTTGGCCTACATTTTGTTCGTTAAAATTTGCACCTTGATTATTATTATATACTTTATTTTTATAATATTGCTGTGACTGACTTTTTTGGTTAGGCATATTCTTATACCTATTATTCCATTTTGGTTCTGTATAGCCATTATTACTATTAAAATGATTTGTAGGGTTATTTGTATTTTTTCGATCGAAGTGATTATTAGGATCTATATATTGATTCGGCCTAA